GGCGCGTGGTGCCCATGGCCGTAGCCGTGGGCGCTGCTGCTGGCCAGCTGGATCTCGCTGGTAGATGGAAGGGTTGACCCGTGCGCATGTGCGTGCGTGCCTGAGCTGGCCGCGTGCCCGCCGTGCCCGCCCTGCATCAGCGCCGCCGCGCCGCCGGCCGAGCCGAGCGCGAGCACCGTGTGGCTGCCGCCCGCGCTGCTGCGGCGTATCGCGCCGCGCAGCTTGCCGCTGAGGGACGTAATGTGGCTGTGCAGCGAGACGTGCTCCGCCTGCGGCTCGCCCTTGATGCCCGAGACCTCGCGGTAGCGCCCGACAAATGCCGCCGAGGTGGAGTACAGCTGCTCCTTGGAGGTGATGGTGTGGCCGTAAAAGCGCTTGGGCTTGTGGAAGCCCACGGCAACCAGGTCCAGCGCCCTGCACGAGGGGGAAAGGCAAGGGGCGAAGGCACGGCGCCCTTCAGCAGCCAAAGCAGCCGTTTCGCAGTGAGCCACCCGGCAGCTCAGCCCTTGGGTGCATGCAGCATGCAGGCGCGTCATGCGGCCGCTCAAACAGCCTGGGCCCTCAGCCACACCGTGCCTGCATCAAGCCCAATGCGCACCAGTCCGAGGCGACACCGTGGACGCCGGCGTCGTACTCAAAGCCGCGCGACGCAAACCACTCCACCAGGCCGTCGCGGATGCCAGTGTACATCAGCCGGCCGCAGGACAGCAGTGTGACCTGAGCAGTCAAAAAGAGTCCAAGAGGGGCGCGTGTTGCGGGGCCAGCAGAGAGGTAACTGGACAGATTCGGCAGCAGGCTGCACTACATTGCAGGCTTCTGCCGGACGGCAGTGCAGACGGCCCTTCGCGGCCCTTGACCGCGCGGTCGCCCCCCGCCTCAGGGGCACCCATGCAGCCTTCCCCCTTGGCTTACGGCTGCACCCCTATCCGCCCTCTGCCCCGCCAGCCGGCCCACCGTGTCAAACATGCTCCAGATCGCCGACCGCGGCTGGTGGATCGACGCGATGACCACCTGCCCATTGGTGCGCGCCATGCGCTTCATGTAGCCCATCACCGTCAGCGCCGCAAACGAGTCGAGGCCGCTGGTGGGCTCGTCCAGGTACACCACGCTCGGCGCCGCCAGGATGCCGACCGCAATTGACAGCCGCTTGCGCTCGCCGCCGCTGAGGCCGCGCAGCATGAGGCCACCGGGCAGCACGCCGCCGACGAGCGTCTTGTGGTGGGTGCCGAGGCCGACGGCGTCGAGCACCTCCTCCAACCGCTGCTGCCGGCCGGCGCGCCCCATCTCATCGGGCAGGATGATGGCGGCGTAGAACCGCATGGTCTCCATGGTCGTCATCGTCGGCACAAAGTTGTCCTCTTGGGGCACGTACGCCGTCTTGCGGATGAAGCCGCGCGCGACCGGGCGGCCGCTGACCAGCAGCTGCCCCGTCAGCGTGCCGACGCTCTTGCGCTGCGCAAGGATGTCCATGAGGGTGGACTTGCCCGCGCCAGAGGGGCCCAGCAGCGCCTGCAGGGCCGTGCGCATGGCGTTGGGACAGGGCGGGCGCCTCGGGGGGCTGTGCAGCGGCGTGGGGCCGATCGCTCACCCACTAATGAGACAGCCATCGTGCAAGAGCATGGCGCGTGTCTTCCGAACAAGAGACGTGTCCACAATCCGCAAATTCTTGCTGGACGCCAGTTCTTACGTCTCTGCAGCGTTTTGCACTGCGCATGGCCACTCCTGCCGTTTTCTAGATGCTGCATGCTGTCAACCAGCAGCTCAGCGCCCACTGTCTTGACCATGCAACTCATGCATGCTATCTGTGCGCCCTGGTCAAAGCGCATGGTCAACCTTAAGACCTGCTCTGCACCCCGCACCTGCATCTCGCCGGGCGACGCACGTCCGTAAACATCCTGCAGCACCACCTTGGTCCCTGCAGCCGCGCGGTAGCTGCAGCCAATACGCTGCCACTCCAGCTCCAGGGGCTCCACACGCAGCAGGTTCTTTGGCGCCGGCTTTTGCGACGCTGCGGCAGCGGGGTCCTCGTACAGCGCGTCTGTAGCGAGCTCCTGCGGCGCCGATTCGACGTCCAGCACCCCAGGAGCGTCCATATCGTCTGCATGCGTGCACATGGGCGCCCATGTCGCAGGAGCATGGTGAGGCGGCGCGACATGAAGCGAGCGTGGCAGGCGGTTGCCATGATCCGAGCGCGAGGGCAGGGCAGCTGACCGCGCATGGCGGGATCGCGCATGCGGCGCATGATGGTCCCGCCGCTCGCAGATGGCCATATTCACTTGCCTGCATCGTGATCCATGCCACCCATGGACGCCTTGGGGCCGCCCTTGGGGACGTGCAGGACGACATCGCTCGCGGTTGCGTGGTTCGCGCTGAGAGCGGCCTGAGCCGCCTTCTGAAGCGCCCTGGCCTTTAATATGCTGCTAGAAACATGCTTTGGCCGCCTCCAGAAGCACGAGAGGGCTTGGGGGTCGTTCAGCAGCAGTGTCTTGATAAGCCAGAAGCCCGCAAACGCGTGCGCGAACACCACGGTAGGCACCCATAGCGCCGTGATGTTGGTCTCCATGGCGAGCTGGCGCTGCCCGCGGGAGGTTTGTTCGGCCCTCCACTACTGCGCTGTCATCTGCTGCTCGTGGTTGAGACACTCGACGAAGGGATTCAAACGATAGGTTTGACACAAATTAAGGACGGGTGCCACCCGTCGTGCCAGGGAGTACGCAGTTGCTTCCCGGCAGGCAGGCGGGCTTGCTGAAGGGTGCAAGAGGTTGCGTCTTACGCCTCAAACTGATGGAAATCAGATCAATGATGATACAAGCTAGTGACGAGCCGGTGCTGGTGGCAAGGGTCTCGGCACAGTCAGTGTTGGGTGAAGGGTCGGCGGGAGGTGCCGCTGCATGTGACACCGCGGGGGTTGCTGCAGGGTTGGCTGGTCCTTGGGGCGCGGTACCTGAAACGTTATGGTGGTTGATTGTGAATGTGCCTTAAGGTGTGGACAACCTGCGCCTTGCCACTGTGGTGGTGGTGGTGGTGGTGGTGGTGGGAGGAAATTGGGGCATGTCTGTATCAAGGTGGCCGCGCTCTACCGTACGGTCATCGACTTTGCTTGGCATGAATCGTGAAAAGCAAGACGGAACCAATCCACAAAAGCCATAACATGCGGCGTACTGCGCTGCAATGAAGGCAGCACTCAATGGCAGTCCCCTGCTGCTAAAGCAGTAGACAAGAAACGCCTTGGGATTGTCCCTTGATGCATGTTCTTGTACATGATGACACTTGCTGTGGTGCTCATGACACAGCACACACCAGCCCCTGGTCAGCAGGGCATGAGCACCTGAGTGCTGCTGTTCGCTACTGGCGCTTTGGTGTGTGGTGGGATGAGCTTGGCCTACCATATCCCGAATGCGGTGAGAGCAATTGTATGTAGTGGCATAAAGTTCACGATACAAGACACAATACAACACACGGTGCACCACACTATACAGCCTTGATCGTCGCTCTTGCGTGGCAGAGAGTCTGGATCAGCGTGAAACCTACAGCACCGGTGTCAAAGAATTGCGTGCAATCAGAAGCGCATTTGACTATCATCAACCGCCTTCATGGCGTGGGGCTTCAGCCGTGCCGGCGCTCCGCCAGACAGCAGCACCCCAATCGGCGCCACTGCTGACGCAGAAGCAGCACAGAGCGGCCCCAACCAGGATGCCCGCGCCGCGGACGGTGGGGACGTGCTTTTCATAGACGCGCCGCTCGAGTCTAGTGAGCAGGCGTCACCAGAGGAAGCGGCGCGCGCACAGGCGGACGACGATGAGGTACGTATTACAGGCTGCAAGTGCTGCGCCAGCGTTGCCGTGACCCTCGCGCACATCAGCAAGCGCCGTACCGTTCGACTCAACTCCCGCCATCAACATGCCAGCCACCCTGCATCCTCTTTCTTCCCGCTCGACCAGCCCTTCCAGCTGCCGCCCCCATGGGTGCGCTACACTCTGACGGGCCTCAACATCGTCACCGCCTGCGCCGCCATGTGCGCAGCACGCGCATCGCGCGGCTTAAAATTGAGGCTTGCATGAAGCATGCGAGGGCAGCTGGGGCGTTTGGACGGGCCTTGTGTTGCGGCAGCGGCTGTAATCTCGATGCGATGGTCACAAAATTCTTGCTGATATCATGTTGACTGCGCAAGAGCGCTCATCGCGCCCTGCCCAGGGCCAACAGCAGCAACTCCATCCTGCTGCCAACGTTGATCACAGGGCCACCGCCAAACAGCTGCTGACAGCCCCAACTTTCATGCGGCCCGGGGCTGGTGCGGGCCCGTCGGGGGCGGCGGGCGCAAGCGCCCCAGGTGTGGCCGCCGGCGCGGCAGCTTCTGAGGAGCTGCCTGATTGGATGCGGCGCCGGTATGGCTATGGCGCCAGCTGGGTGCCAAAAGGGGTGAGCGGGCTGCCCCTGGCCTTTGTGACATGCGCGTGATGTTTGCGATAAAGCCATGTGCGGTTGTATCTGCTGGAGCCTCGAAGCTTGGGCACAAGCGCGGCTTTTCGCTGGATGCACACGCTCTCCGTAGACCTAGAACAGCTTGTTTCCCACCTTGAGTACTGTAGCGACGCTCCGGGACGGCCATCCGTGCCGCTGCCCTGCTGCGCGTCCACATCTTCGAACCCAGAATATTGTGCTGCGCGTTGCAAGGGACACAGGCGTCCTCTGTGGCGCATCCCTGGCCTGGTACGGCGTCCAGGTGCGGTTCGCGCTGTGGTGACGTCGGGGGTTGAGTCGTGAAACGGAGCTGCCGCCTGTGGTTACGGCACATGGTTGCGGCCTGTAGAGTACCACGAAACCACGGCTGCACAGGAACTCACACAGTCGATCCGGTGGGGTGGGGTGCTGCTGCCAGGCGGTGCCTGTGGTCAATCTTGTGTTGCGCGTTGCTAGTTGGGCTTTGTGGCCAGACACAGCCACAGGCCAAGCTGAGGTCACTGCTCTCCCACCAACGCCAGCTTTTTGCGTGCCCCTGTCGTCCACGTGCAACTTCCACAGGCGGGCATGCATCGGGTACGCGGCGGCGCCGACGATGCTGCCAACACAGCCGTTGCGGGCGCTGTTGCTGCCGCCTTCCTGGGTGCCAAACTCTTTCAAGACGCAGCCAGCAGCATGCTCACGAGCCGGGCCGTTGCACGCGTTGGGCTGTGGGCCGCGGTTGGGGCGTGGATGGGGCAGTCTGCGTTCCACGACCAGCAGAGGGTGCGGGCCGAGCTGCTGAAGCGCCAGCAGGAGCTGGAGCAGAGTGAGAGGGGGCCTGCTGAGCCGGGGCAAGGCTGCGTAACGTAACGACGGCAGGTGCAGGACGGCATTGGCACCCGCAACGTGTGGGCCACTCTGCAGCTCTTGCAGCGGAATTCATGGGTGGACCCGCTTTCACAGTGTCTTCCTCGGCCGCTGCTTCCCAGCCCTTGGATACTACTACCATCTCCCGTGCCTGGCTACGCCTAAGCAACCCTCCCGCCCGCCCTGCTGTACACCCGGGTGCTCGCAGAGCATTTGCACGTGGCTCCAGGTCAGGTCAAGCAGCAGCTTGATCGCGAACTCCTCATGCGCCTGCTGAGGTACGTGAGCGACGCGCTGCGGCGAAGCTCACCTGTGACCAGCGGTGACAGGCGAGCCTGGCCCTGCCGCGCGCAGGCATGCCGCTCATGCTTGCTGCTGAGGCCTTGCACACACGTTTGTCGTCTAGCGCCTGATTCGCCCATTTGTGCGCACTGCCGACCGTGCAGCAAGGAGCAAAAGGCGCAAGTCGTTCAGCTGCAGCAGCACATGGAAGCAACGGGCGCGGTCCCCGCCAACGCCGGCGCTGCTGCTGCTGCTGGCGCTGGCACAGCAGATGGTTCTGGCGCAACGGGCGGCGGTGACGACGTGGCCTGGCGGCAGCTGATTGAGTCCCCGCCTTGGCTCACTGAGAGCACCAACAGCAGCAGCAGTGGGAGCAAGGATAGCAGCATTGGCAGCAGATAGCAGGGCCTCGAGGCGATGATGTCTTCAAGTTGTGTGTGATGATTATTGAGTTGTGTGGTCATTATTGCTTGTAAATTTTTGGCTGCAAGTCAAGTCCCACTGCCAACTCCCAAGTGAGGGAACATGGTGGCCCGCCTGTCGTCACCCGGACTGCAACCCTCCCACGGTTGTTGCAGAAAAGCGGATGGGCGTGTTGTAAGCCTCAGCCCCGGCAATGCCCCAGCACCACTTCAGCTTCATGCCAAAGGTTGCAAAACTTAGGCTCGAGCACGGCGGAGGAATTAGAACGTCCTGTGCAGGACACTGTACGGTACGTCCTGTGACAGGGCCATGTGTTGGATGCAGCCACATGCCTGTGTACGTGTGAATGGGTTCCGTTTGTGTCGCCAAAATGTGTGTGTCGCAACAGGGGCTCGGAGTACAGAAGAGAAAGCATGTGGAACCAGGGCGGGCCGTACTCACCCTCAGCCCTGGCCTGTCAATGCGGCTGTGGGTGGATTGTAGGGACAGTGAGGCTTGACACCACCCAGGTTGCAGCAGCCTCCCAAGCCTGCCCCTGGCCTTGAGCAAGCCTGCCCGCCCCTGTACGCTCTCCAATTAATCGATCCTGACTGCATGGTAACCTGTCCTGGAGCCTCCGACGCGCTTCGAACACAGTTGCGGCGGTTGTCTTGACTCCAAGTTTTGACGCACAGCAGCGCACCATTGCAAATCTAGCCGTGAGAATCGGCAACAGCGCGGCTGGAGTCTGAAAAGCGGTGTGAGAGTTTGTGTTGGTGGTTCCTGCCAGGGGCCTGCGGGCCGTTCTACCGTGGGGGTGTTTACGGGTGTGATCTGAGGCCGAGGGAGACAATACCGTATGGTTGGTGTTGCACCGACTGGTCATATCACTTGATTATATACTGTTAGTGAATCAAAGGGTCGCTGATTCCGCCGGTCTGCGCCTTGACAACTGGCGCTGCTCTTTCTGACTTTCCTTCTATCCTTCACAGGCCGCCGGCCCATTGGTCGTTTCATACTTTGAAAAGGTGGCTTTCAAGCCGCCATCACAGTTGATTGCAAAACCCGCGCCTCATGGCGTCTCTGATCGCTTCCCGCAGCATGGGGGTCCAGCTCAGGGCTGCCCCCAGGGCTGTGCCTAAGGCCATCCCGGCCCTGCGTGCTCTCCCCGTGAGGCCGGCTGCCAAGCAGGTGCGGAGGAGACCCTCCCACGCGTCGGAGTTTGCGGCCGTGTGTCGGCTGTGAGGGAGTGGTCCGGGGCCCCACCCACACTGCTTTCCTGCTCCCCTTGCCGCGCAGCTGCAGACCTCGCCCCTGATCGCCAATTCGCGGCCCTTCCTGGCCGAGAGGCAGCCCGCCAAGCGCGCGGAGAACGTGGGCCCAGCTCAGGCCTCGTCCGGGGATGTCCCCGCCCCAGGCGAGGGCAAGAAGATCCTTGGCTACGATGTCTTCACCTGGCAGAAGATTATCCCGCTCGGCGCGATGTTCTTCTGCATCCTGTTCAACTACACGATCCTGCGCGACACCAAGGTGCGGGCCGGACTGTGTGCGGGCCTAAAACGCACGCCACCGACTCGGCCTGGTGTTGATGGTTTTTCAATTGAATTGTTTCGGATTATTTAGCGCATGTAAGGCCAGAGGGCATCCGATTGATGGCGACGGCAATGCTCGGCATCAGATCACATGCCGCCTGACAACCCTGGGTGTGCATGGAACGCGGCGCAGGATGTGCTGGTGGTCACGGCGCCCGGCTCCGGCGCTGAGATCATCCCCTTCCTCAAGACCTGGGTGAACCTGCCCATGGCCATCGCGTTCACCATTGGGTACGCCCAGGTGAGTTGACTTGAAAGCAGGCGGGCCTCGCAGGAGCAGCTTGATTGTAGCGGGGAGGAGGCTCAATGCAAGCATGCTGCGCAGCACATCGGTTCTTGTTATCCTGCCAGACGGCATGCCGACCTAGCAGGCACGATTGCACATCAATCAGGGTGGGTGGGCTGTTTAGCTTGTACAGCTGCATACTGACAACCCGCCGCGCTCACCGCGCCGCCCTGTCCACCCCTCGCAGCTGGCCAACGTCCTGTCGACGGAGGCCCTCTTCTACACCTGCATCATCCCCTTCATCATCTTCTTCGGCGCCTTCGCGTTCGTCATCTACCCCCTGCGTGACGTCATCCACCCCACCGGTGCGCGCGCGGGCGGGCGGCCAGGGGGCACGGGTTTCGTTGTTGTTTTGCGGCAAAACCGTGGTAGCTTGCACCAGGAACGGTAAACTGGCGCCCCATGTGAGGCAGCTTTGTGGGGTCCTTGCAGCCCAGCACGCACTGACCACCACAAGCTCGGCGATACAGCGTAGCAGCTTTGGACGGACCCAGGCAGACCAGGCTCTAGGGCAAGCGTACCTGTCAATGCAGTGTGAGGACTGTCAGCCGTGGCGCACGCCACATGCGTCAATGGGGGCCGCTGGCTGCTGCCCCCCCTTGGGTCCGTCGGGGCCCGCTTTGTTGGCATCGCCCGAACGCCTCACGCCCCGCCGCGCCGCGCAGAGTTCTGCGAGAAGCTGCTCGCGTCCTCGGGCGCTCGCTTCGCGGGCCCCATCGCCATCCTACGCAACTGGAGCTACTGCCTCTTCTACGTGATGGCGGAGCTCTGGGGCTCCGTGGTGGTGTCGGTGCTCTTCTGGGGCTTTGCCAACCAGGTGGGCATGGGTGCTGCTGAGTCGCATCGTGTGGCTTGGGGCGCGCCGCAGTGGGTGGGGGCTCTGTGCATTGGTCGGTCGGGGGCGCTGCGCTCGCAGGGACTGTGTCTTCTTGTGTTGGAGCGGCAGCGCCAGCAACTGCCCCTGGGACTGTTTGCCAGGACGTCTCTGCTGTTGTTCGTGGGTGGACATTGGGGGGGTTGAGCCAGCTGAATAGCGCGCTGCGCTCAAGATGTTTGTGCAGGCCCACTCGGTCTGCCAAGCCACTGGTGTGACTGCACAACATGCGACTGATGGTGGGACGAATGGGTGATGGGCTCTGCTCCCGAATCTCGCGCCGCCCACACCAACTGCTCCCTCCATGTGCTGGTGCCGTCGTCCCGCAGATCACCACGGTCGATGAGGCCTCGCAGTTCTACCCCCTGTTCGGTGAGAATCGTTGATGCTCCAGACGTAACTGCCTCGGAGGTCATTGGCTCACGCCCCCCCCCCCAAAAGGGAAACCTTGTTCTGCGGGTCCGTGTGCTGTCCGCTTGGCCCCCTGTTTCCGCGCCCGCGCCTCTCATCCCCCCCGGCCTGCGAACCCCTAACCCCGCAGGCCTGGGTGCCAACGTCGCCCTGATCTTCTCGGGCCGCGCCGTCAAGCTCTTCTCCCAGATGCGCGCGGACCTGCCCCCGGATGTCGACGGCTGGGGCCTGTCCCTCAAGGGCCTCATGGGCATGGTCGTCATCGTGAGTCATGGGATGACGCTGCCAGGGGGGCCGGGGCCGCGTTGGGGGTGGCAGCGACGGGGGCGCGACGAGCCGCGCTCAAGTGCCTGGCAGCATGGGGGAGAGACGGAGGCGAAGTGTCTGGCTGAGCCGCGGCAGGGTCTACGCCGCCGGCAGGCCCGTGGCTGTTGCCGGGCGGACGGCGGGCCCAACGCTGGTGTCTGTTGCTCTCGCCACCATGCTAGCCCCTCACCTGTCCTCCCGCTCCCCAAATCCTCCTTGTGCAGGGCGGTTTGCTCATCGCTGGTATCTACTACTGGCTCAACCGCACTGTGGTGCCCAAGGTTGAGAAGCGCGAGGCCAAGAAGAAGAAGAAGGGCCCCAAGATGAGCGGTGAGGATCCTTGCATGATGCTTGCATCAGGCGCGCATGCTCCGGGCTTGGCGGCCGCCGAGGGACCCTTGACACTTGGGCCCCGCAGTAGCCTCGACCCCCCTTGTGTGCCCTAATGAACCCCGCTGCCCCCCGGCCCCACCCCGCCCTGCAGTGGGCGAGTCGTTCGCCTTCCTGGCGGCCAGCCCCTACATCCGCGACATGGCGGCCCTGGTGGTGGCCTACGGCATCTCCATCAACCTGGTGGAGGTGACCTGGAAGTCCAAGATCAAGGCCCAGTTCCCCAACCCCAACGACTACTCGGCCTTCATGGGCGACTTCTCGACCGCCACCGGCGCGGTGACCTTCACGATGATGATCCTGTCCCGCTACATCTTCCGCTACTTCGGCTGGGGCGTGGCGGCGCTGATCACGCCCACCGTGCTGCTCATCACGGGCATCCTGTTCTTCAGCCTCGTGCTGTTCAGCGACAGCGTCGCCCCGACGCTCAAGGCGCTGGGCCTGACGCCGCTGATGGCGGCCGTGCTGGTGGGCGCCGCGCAGAACGTGTTCAGCAAGTCGTCCAAGTACAGCCTGTTCGACCCCTGCAAGGAGATGGCCGTGAGTGGCGGGGCGGGCTTGGGGGCAGGCATGGGGTGGTTGGGGATGGCGGCGGCGTGTCGGAACGGCGGCGGCGCGCGGCGCAGGGGCGCCGAGGGGCAATTCAGTGCCGCAGCACAGGGCATATGTGATGGGGACCGGGCCAGAGCGGCCGCCGCTGCAGTGGCGTGGGGCCGCTTCTCTGATGGTGACCGTCCCCTCAGATGCGCGCTGACAAATCATGCTCCCTGCGCCCCCGCCTGCCTCACCTTGTTTGTGTCGCCACCAGTACATCCCCCTGGACGAGGAGGGTGAGTAGCTTTCTTTTTGGGGAGGTAGTTGTTCCATTGTCAATGAGCCAGCAACGCAGCGTCAGCCAAGCAGCCTTGCGGCAGCCCCGCTCTTTGCCTGCAGGTCCTCAGTGCATGCATGCTGACCAGACCCAGTGAC